ATTCGTTTGGTGATCGTAGGTCGTCAGTGTGGAGGGAAAAGAGGTGAGGGGAGAAGATAGACCCTTGAAGAACTCCGTAGCTATTGGGAAGGACCGTGGATTTTTGCTTGCCACATCGGACGAATTGAGTGCGGGAAGAGAAATAGTCCCAAAGCCAAGAAATAGCCTGGCCAGGAGAGCCGCATGCAGACGTTTTATTAAGAAGAAGATTGCGCGGGATAGTATTAAAGGCTGAGGGCTAGTTAAGAGATGCGCATGCGTACGCACGGCAACTCTTATCTAAATCTGTTAGCGCAGAATGCACAACAAGAGCAACAGCGTCTAGGGTACTACGCCTGATCTTATATGCAAATTGCAGGGGATGGGAGAACAGCGTGATTGTGTCTAAGGCAACACAGCCATGTTTGCGTAACATTGGTTGAGTGCTATGAGGTAATACATTGTAGTGTTGAGTTTGCCATCATGTCTGTGTGTGTAACAAACACGTCAAGGAAGTGTAATTTCTGGGCTTCCTCTTCTTAACATAAATTGAATGTTGGTAAAGCTGCCGTTAAGCAGGTCTTGAAAACCAGCCAGCCTGTACTTCTCCGTAATGACAGATGTATCATCCCCGTATTAGTGCCAAAATATAAGTGAAGGTGAGCGAACTTCTCTAGCTTTTGTGGGATCACTTCCGCAACTAGTCTGGGTTACGGGGGAACCCATGTATGTTCCTTTGTTTTATTCGTATGTTCTACCATTGAAGGTGAAAAAGGCTCGTTGGTAGAACGCAAGGAGTTTCATTAGATGTTCGATTTTTAAGGGCCCCAGGGTTTCGTCGTAACTTCTTCGAGCAGTTTACGTACCACGTAGCGCGCCAAGTCTGGTGGAACAAGAACCTGGGATGAGCATATTTGCCTGCATTCGTTGCTTAAGGTTTTCGATACTGATGAAATGGAGTCCCCGAAAAAAAAAGAGTATATGTGAGACGTTAGAACCTGGTTGATACTCATGCCCGCATACAGGCACAATTACATTTCCTGTCCAGGTGGTGAATTTTAAAACAGAACCCCATAAACTTCGGCCGTAGATCCTCAAATGTCGTCCCGTATGCTTCTATAAGTGATATAGATTCTTCGCCCCTTTTTTTCCCGGCTCTATTCGTAAATTTACTCTCTGTTCTCGAAGTGATCAGTCCTCAGTTCTCTTAAGGGGGAAGGACTTTGAAAGTACCAAGATCATTCACCGCCTGACTAACGCCACATGTTTCATCGTTTCATTGTGTGTGGGGGGGAGGAGAGGGGGCAGGGCGGAATGCGTGGGCGTGGGTCAATTTAGTCTCATCTCCACTTGACTCGCCTCACTCCTGCTCGAATTTTTGGAACCTTTTTCGTGCTGTGTGTGTGTGCGTAATCGTCGCACACACGACACACACACGCACACACATAAACCTAGGGTACCGTTGATTAAGGCTGTCCACTGTCCGCAGAAATGGCGGACTTCAGAAACACAGGAACCGCGTATTTTTATTCCGTAACCTTTGACAGCCATCAGTAGTCAGGCAGGGTGTACTATCGGGTGGTTGTTGTTATAACGAGTTCAGCGTCGCTAGTGTTATAACGATGACCTCTGACGTGTGTCACCTTCGAATTACGCCCTGTTGAAACCGCCAAGGAAGAACACAATAAGAAGTGCCTAATTCTGTAATCCACCCGGAGGAAGGTTTATTGTGTACAAAACCCGGAGGAGCTGTCTCG